GAGAATATTTGCTGCGATATGTCGATTAAATTTTGCTATTTATATGAATGTTATTACAATTGCAAATTTTCGTATATTTACCAGAAGGGAAAATATTGCAATTAATCACCTTAATCAGGTAAGAGAGAGAGAGATTATTACATTATATAAAATATGGTGTTATTTAAAATTCAATTTTTTATGAATTTATTTATATTATAATTTTGTTTTGCAACTAAATGTAATAAATGTACAATGTAAGTGTTTACCATAATAAACCAACCGTATCTCTAGAGTAAAGAGTGCGTAACCAAAAGTATTTTTTATCCAGCATTATATTTAACAAAAAACTATTGAATATTTTTTTATAGCCGACCAGACCTGTGGCCGCCATCGCTGTATAATGAGTTGCCCCTAAAAGCCATGTAAAGGCAAACAATAGCATCGCTTCCCCGATAAGCAATCGGTCGCCTAAAGGACTGAACAATTTTTTGTTGCTCTCGGATAATGAAAATGAGTTAACAACTATGTAAAACACAGAATTTCTATCTATAACAATTGATGTTTGATTTGATTTTGCTTTAATTAAATAGTATATTGTTGATAATACAACCATGGTAATAGAGAGTGCTGTAATGCATCTGTTTTAAAAAATAGTTTAATAAATTAATATGATTAGTTTAATAATAATATATTTAATTTACATACAGTATTGCTATATTGAATAAATTCCATTCAATTTTATCAATGATTGTGTCACAATTAGAGCCCACTTCTATTGGAATCCTTATTATCGGATTGAAAACTGTTATATTAAATATAAAAATATGATTATCTATAAAATATGGATTTTATAATAAATTTATGGCCAAATGAATAACATTTATTATTATTATTATTTTAAGTTATTGAAAACAATATAACTGTAAAATTTTATACAAACACCTTTTTATAATTATATTGTGTTATATTTATTTAATTACGGTTATCACAAATAGGGTGTTACAAAAATATTTATGCACTATATCCCATGATTATTATATGATCAACTAGACATTATATTTTATTATACTAATTGTTCAGGGTAATTTATTAATGACAATACAACAAACCTGTGTTTAGAAATATTTCCAAATCTTGTGCCCGACATTGCGATGGTATGCAAACACCATAATGAAAAGCATAAATCTTATATGTTAGCATATTTGCAGCCAGCACAAATTTTAACTTATTAATATTAGTGCTTATTTGATTTATAATCCAACATAAACAGAGTAGTAAGTTATATGATTACGGTAATTTAACGTTATTAACCAGCCATAACAACTCTCCTTACTGACCAAAATGATTTGTCATAAACGGTATTTAACAAAACCATAAGTAAACACCTGCGCTTTTAACGGCTAAGCACTGGTCGTAATCACCGAAACTCGTGATAACGCCATCCGATAGACCCTAGGAATGACTGGTTTTACTAAACAGTATTTGCCATAAATTGTTTTGGTATTCATTTGTGGACCGCTTTTAACGGCTAAGCACTGGTCGTAATCACCGAAACTCGTGATAACGCCATCCGATAGACCCGACGGTATGCCTCCCATTGAATCAAATACTGTGAATATAAGAAATTACCGCAAATTAATTAATTAAAAATATATAAAGCAAAACATAACTAATTCGTAAATTAAATATAGCACAATTTATCACTAAACACATTTGAATAATATTTTTCATTAAAAAAATTGTATATCAGTGCTGAGCATTAGTGTAAATTTTTAGTACAATCACTGAAGGTACTTTATAACCCATTAAATTTTTACCCGAGTACTAAACCAAATTATGTTACAAAATACATATTTTGTTACAGTATATAACGTTTGTAACCAAGATTGTGTGATATGATTACTATGCAGCGTTGTACAATTAGGCCAAGTAAATTTACTATGTAATTGAAATTGAAAATTGAAAACACAATAACAAGGCACTTATTTGAAAATTATTTCCTAAGAAAATGTAAAAATTGGCCAAAAAATGTATTTAGTCTCAAAACTTTTATGCTGTGTTTTAGGTTAACTTGCAAAACTCATATCGTACAATCCTATAGACATTTTATGTACAATTTATAAATTCACTGATGTTATAGTGTAGATCAATGTAAGCATAGTATAAGTATAATATTAGAAAGCATACACTTGTTTAATAAAGAGAGCAGTTTATATAATTTATACCGGCTTTTACGCTGGCTAGATTTGATAGTAATAAAAAATACATGTGTAAAGTACTGTACATCTTTACTAGCTAAATAAAGTATAATGATAAGTTCAAACCTTCAACTTTTAAGGTTAGCCTAAGAATATAAGAGTCGGTTTGAAATATTTTACCTGATGAGAGATTCAATGTGGTTTTATGATCTCGGGTTTAAATGAACTAAATTTTTATCTGGATGAATTGAAAATTGTGATCACGTATTTATAAATGTAATTTAAACCTAAAACCTTAGTGAAATCAAAAATATAATTGCTTTTTATCATTATTCACTTAACACGAAAAATGTAATATCTAAATATTGTAATGAGATCAATAATCAATTTACAAAATGTGCAACTGGCCACAAACACAGTAATTATGTTCAATTTCTATACGTTTTATAGCATTACAATTCTTATGACTGGCATTACAGCCAGTGGTCAATTCATTAGACAGTATGTTAGCTGTTAGAAAATTGGCCATAACTCGGATAATTGTAATTTAATTGTGCATCTCACTACAATAATGACCATGATTATATCAAACCCCGCGGGCTTAAGCTTGTCTCGTTGGCGTAATCCACTTTTTATAATGTATAAATATATTTTAAATATTAAAATGGTCATTTACTTTGATAGGCCCACAACTCATTTCGCTTTAAGGCTTCAAACCATGTGAACAATGAGTCCAAACAATCAGATGTTATATCCATTGAATACATGAATTGAAGCGCCGATGCCTTCAGTTTGTGTTTTACGGGCCGTATATTGGATTCAATACTCGTATAAAACTTATGCAAATATTTCACATTATTATTGATGTCATTAAAACTTTCACTTATATTAAAATTATTCTTTAAAAGACTTTTAAGTTTGTTAACAAAACTTTTATTTGTAACATTATTTGATTTGAGAAATAAATTATTATCACAATTTATACTACAATTTTGCGTTGAATTTATTGCGAGTTCAGTTTTTAAGATAGCAGTCACATTTGTATTTAACGTAACACTAATTAATATGGACAAGATTATAACTAGACTAAAATGTAGGACATTAGGATTAAACATTTTAAATTGAATTTATTGTAAATATTATATATAATATTTTTTAAAGTTTTTGAAGCCCTCTTAACCTTATAATAAAAAGTAAAAACTAATACATGATACTTTTTTACTGATTTATAAGGGAATTTTTGAAGGTCAAGGATTTTACACCTTGGAGATTTTCATAATGATATAATATTATTTGTATTTTGACATCACTTTTGCTAATATTTTTGAAATAATAAAAAGGACCTTAGCGAAGTTTAGTGAATTGTCTAATAAATCTTGCCTAAATATGTATAAATGAACATTAATTATAAAATATTTGTTAATTTATTTTGTTGCAATCTAATATTAATTATGTGCCACTATATAACAATTATTAAATTGTTAATAAACATAATTTATAACATATTTAAATAAACAAATTATATAATTGTTAAAATTTTAAATATACTGTACTCTAACGTGTTAATGAATTAAATAATAATTACACTTGTCTAATTTTTAGATAAATGTAATTTTATAAAATTTAAATTTTATAAATAATTGATTGCATACGTAAAATGTGTGTGTGTGTGTGAGAGAGAGAGAGAAAGAGAAAGAGAAAGAGAGAGAGAGAGAGAGAGAGAGAGAGAGAGAGTAACCAACTAATTATGTTTTATTGTATATTTTTATTTAAATACATATTTGCATTATTTTTTGCTGTAAACAATTAATTAGTTAACATTTCTGTCGTTATTTCATTATTACTTGCAATATCATTATTATTATTATGTTTTCTACAATTGTTTGCATTAATTGTGCGATTAGTTTGTGTTTTCAAACTCTTTAACAAATTAATAAACGGAAAGTCAATCAATAAGTATAACAAATACGAGACAATCAAAGCGACCGTCAAATCAATGTAATAGATCTGTAACTAAATTTCAAAATAAAAATAAACATGATAATAATACATGAAATATTAATTCATATGAGTATCAACGTAATAAACAGTTTTATAAACTTATCTTTAAATAACATTATAATGTTACCTGGTTAACATGATTTATCGCTACATTTTCCCGTCGGCTAAATATGCGATAATTTGCAATTATAAAACAATTCATATAAATAGCAAAATTTAATCGACTTATTGCAGCAAATATTTTCGTAGACAAGAATTTATTTACCACACCTATTTAAATGTTTATAAATTTATAAAAGTTAATATATTGCTATAAAAGTTAAAATATTTATAAAGTAAAATATCTTACCATTTTTGTTAAAATGAACCATGATGATAATCCATATAACACCAACTGACCATAATAATTTGCCGCAAACGTGCCAGTACAGTAGATTAATTTGATTAGGCGCGACATTGATATCCTTGAATTGTTCACTCCAAACAAAACTGGACAGGCTGATTGCAAAACATATGACCGACCCAACGAGTTTTCTAATTTTATTTTTAACCATGTGTGCAATCATGTGATTTTTCTTGCGCAACATAAAGCCAACAATTAATCCCAATATAAACACCGATATAATTTGATCCGTGAATATCGAGAATCTTTCTAATGAATCGTTCATTATATCGAGATCATTCATTTGCCACAACTCGTGTGGTACTATTTTGTAACCATGATACAATCTGGGTATTATATTGGCAAACATTGCCAGCGCCAACGCCACCGTATTTAGCATTAGGCCATATTTTGTTGACCATCTCATTAATATCATAAGTATTGGACACAGGATTTGAAGTTGAAATATAGCGCTCAATAGAAAACTGTTTGGCGGACACTGTTTTTGAGAAAATAAATTAATGTTAATTAAATTTTTATATTTTTATATGATGTACAATTAGTTATAAAATAATTAACTACTTTACTCATATTTTTTGTATATACAATCATTAACTAATAATTTAAACTATGAATGAATTTATAACTTACCAGATTATGTGGGTTTGTATCAAAATTGTTTATAAACAACAACGATTTCCAATAATTGATTGAACATGTGTCTAATTCTCTAATCGCGTTGGCATAGGGCCCAGTGCCTACCATTAACAGCATGTTGAGCAAAATAATTGGGCCAATAATTTTGGGTAAAAATCTAGACCACTTTTCCAATAGGAAGTTTATATATGATCGTAAACTATGTGTCCGTATTTTAGGTCCAAAATAATCGTAGGCTATAATAATGCCGCTAGAAAATAAAATGTACAGGACCAATTATTTTATAATTGACTAAAACTCTAATATTAAATAAAAACATAGTAACATGAAAAATATATGTACCATAATAAACCAATCGTATCTCTAGAGTAAAGAGTGCGTAACCAAAAGTACTTTGTATCCAACATTATATTCAACATAAAACTATTCAATATTTTCTTATACCCGACCAGACCTGTGGCCGCTATCAATGTATAGTGCAGTGCAGTTGTAAACCATATAATGGCAAACAATAGCATCGCTTCCCCGATAAGCAATCGGTCGCCTAAAGGACTGAATAATTTTTTGTTGCTCTCGGATATTGAAAATGATTTGACAACTATTTTAAACATGGTTTTTGTTGAAAATCTATTTAGAACAATTGACGTTTGATCTGATTTTGTTTTTATTAAAACATATATTGTAGAAAATATAACCATGGTGATGGAGAATGATGGAACAAATCTGGTTAAAATAAAATTACATGATTAAAACCATGTTGTTTTTTATATAGAATTGACTATAAATTACATGATCATGATATTGAATAACAACCAGTGAATCGTATCTATTATGGTATCACAATTAGGGCCCACTTCTATTGGAATCATGATCGGATTGAAAACTGTATAAATTCAAACAAGACAGATTAAAATAGGCGATTTTAGTACAGATAATATGACTTGGTTCTTGTACTAACAAAGTGTTTTTTAAATTATAAATGTTCTTTATATTTATATTAAAACACACTATACATGATAAAATATTATTTTAATTTATCTCAATATATTTAGTCATAATTTTTACTAATTAGTAGTTCAATGTGATTTACAAAAAAAAGTTAATTAAAGCACAACAAACCTGCGTTTAAGAATATTTCCAAATCCTGTGCTCGACATTGCGATGGTATGCAAACACCATAATGAAAGGCATAAATCTTATGTGTCATAGAATTTACAGCAACCAAAAATTTTAAATTATTAATATTTGTCCGTATTTTATTTTTAATCCAGGTATTTGTCTCGTTATTTAATACATCCAATCCATTAAATTGCAATAATTGGTCCGTATTATTGAGAGGAATGACTGGTTTTACTAAACAGTATTTGCCATAAATTGTTTTGGTATTCATTTGTGGACCGCTTTTAACGGCTAAGCACTGGTCGTAATCACCAAAACTTGTGATAACGCCATCCAATAGACCCGACGGCAGTTTTCCCATTGAATCAAACACTGTTAATAATTATTTGTTATTTTGTCATATTTATATAAACTATGTACCCTATTTTTATAATTAATATAATAATTTATATGTAAATAATATATTCCAGAATTGTACATGGTAACTTACTTTGATAGGCCCACAACTCATTACGCTTTAAGGCTTCAAACCATGTGAACAATGAGTCCAAACAATCAGATGTTATATCCATTGAATACATGAATTGAAGCGCCGATGCTTTCAGTTTGTGTTTTACGGGCCGTATATTGGATTCAATACTCGTATAAAACTTATGCAAATATTTCACATTATTATTGATGTCATTATAACTTTCACTCATATTAAAATTATTTTTTAAAAGACTTTTAAGTTTGTTTACAAAATTTTTATTTAAAACATTTGATTTGCGAACCAAATTATTATCACAACTAGTGCAATTTTCTGTTGGATCAAGCACTATTTCAGTCTCTGACAGTGTATTTGCATCTGTATTTAAAATAACACTAATTAATATAAAATATGTAAATAATATTTTCATGTAAAATGTGGTCAATTTAGACATATTTAACTAATTTGTCGTACTAATCAGTAAAACAGCAAAATATTAACTGGTATATTTCATTAAAAATATTTCACTAACTTTAGTGTCATCATTAAATAAATTAAACTAGTTATTTTTAAAAATCTGTTTATTGAAGGTTATGGGTTTATTATTTTTAATAAGATTGTTTTGGTGATACATTTTTGTTACTTAATTATTTGAACATCGTGTTTTGAATTGTGATAAACTCAATGCTCAATAAAATTAAAGCAATTAAGTAAAAGTTTGAAAATATATTATTGAGATATTTAAAGTATAGTAGTAAAAATATTTTTGTAAATAATTTTAAAGCATCTATCTATTAACAAATTAAAAGTACTTGGTATACAGTAAGTAGTCACTTAACAAAATGACATTAATAATTAATATATTAAACAAATAATTGTATCGTTATAAAATATAATAGTTAAAATTAACTAAATACATTATATAAATAATTAGTTTTAATATTAAATTATTTATTACTTGTCAGCAAAAACAAAACTGTAGTAACTTATATACTATATGAATTATAGTAACCTTAAGTAATATATTATTATATCAGAGTAAAAATTTCAATAAATTATTAGTTAGCACAATATAATAATTTTTGGACAATATATTTGAATTAAGCTTAATTAATAATAGCTTTAATAGTTTAATTAATATGGCTGAATTATCATAGATAAAATATTCCCAAACATTGTTTACCGGTTTATACTGAAGGGCAAAAATGATCAACATCATTAATCAATAATTAGTAAGCATGCTAATTAAATAAAAACCTAGTGCATATAATATCTGATTATATTAGATTTGTAATAAGATTTAAACGTTGAAAATAGCAAATGTGAAAAATTATTGATGATAATTTTAGGAATAAATGGACCGAATGTAATTAACTCTGAATTCAATGGTTTTTTATTGACAAAATTAGATCAATAACAATTAATTTAATAACTATAGACACTAAAGCAGTGCAAAAACGGTGCATTGATCACAGAAAAAATAATATATAATTATTAGAAATATTAAAATTGTGTTGAAAGTAATGAATCAAACATTACTTTTATATAAAGTTAAGTTTTTTTT